TTAGATTATACTATTATTATTATTTATATCTTTTAAAGTATTATATAAAGATTATAGTTTCTTAACTAAGTCGCTAGTATTAAAGGTTATAGGGCTAATAATAAGAGCTTAGGGCTTTTTAGTATTAGCTTATTACTTTTCCTTTACTACTAGTAAAGGTATTATCTAATTATTTATTTCCTAGTAAGTCTATCGCCTTATTAGGTCCCTAACTCTAGCTATTAAGGTAGTTATTACTTTAATTATTAAATCCCTAGATTTTAGTTTTTTTAAATAGTACCGTTGTCCTTTAAGTATTCTTAGCTTTATAAAGCTACTTATCGCTATATAAATAAAACGGAATAATAAGTTTACGCCTTAAAGACTAGTTTTAATAAAGATAAGGGTATATACCTAAAGTATATATAGTACGCGGCTAAGGATTAATAGGGTAATTAACTATATAATTATTTAATTATCGGTCCTATATATAGCTCTAAAGGTCTTAGGTTATTAATATAAGTCTTAAAGATTTCTTTACTCTATACCTCTTTATCTTTACTAAAGTCGCGTAACTAGCGGCCTTTACTTTAAAAGGGGAAAAATAAAATTCGAATTAACTATAATTAAGGAAGATACCTTATTAAATAGTTAAGATCTTTATAAAGCCTTTAAGTATACTTAGAAGTAAGTTAAATAAGGAGTACTAAGGGTCTTATCCCTTTAACGGGCTAATATTTATAGGGGTGCGATCTTACTTATTAAAGTATTTTAATATAAAGTATATAAATACGCTATAACGTAAGTAATAGCTATTAGCTTTTTTTTCTTAATCTCCTTACTTATTACTTACTTCGCTAACTACTTAAAGTATAAGGTAGTATAAGGGGTAGTCGATAGCGTCTTCCTATTATATTTAGCTTAGTTTAAGTAAGTAGCTAATATTAAAGTATCTTTATTAGTATTAATAGCTAGCTATTTATCTTATAAAAGGGTAGTAATCCTATTACTACTATATAGCGTATACTTATAAAGCTTTTAAAAATATAGCGTTTACTTATAGCCTTATATTACCTTTAGTAACTAGCTTATATAGTCGCTATAGTTAAGAAGTATAATTATATAGATAAGTAGCTCTTATAAGGCTAGCGTAATTTAATTCTATAGCTATATAAGCTTCGCGCTATTTTTTTATACTAGTCCTTACTACTTATAAGAGCGTCTCTTTAAAGTTAAGGAGGAATTCGCTAAAGGTCTATCTATCTTTTTACTTAAAGGTCTATAGCCTATCCTATGCTTTTTCCCGCTCTTATACGTTGCTAAATATATATATAAGGTATTAAAAGAAGTCCTATAAGTTATATTTACCCTTAAGGCCGCCCTTATCTTAAAATCTAAAGATCCGCTATATTTAAGGCTCTAATAATATATAAAAGAGTAAATACTATACTATATCGCGATAGCTATTTAAGCCTTATTTCTTATTAGTTATAAACTTCGTTTAAAGCTAGCTAAGGAAAAGGTAAAAGGACTTTAGCTTATTATCCTAAGTTAGCTAAGGGAGCGGCTTTTATACTAATAGTATCGCCGCTATAACTAGCGTTATAGAGGTCGTATAGGTTAATACTAGTCTTATAAATAGCTCCCTTAATATAGCGAGAACCTTATCTTTCTCGCTAGCTATCGCGCTTTTAATTACTTTTAAGATAGCTATAATACTCCTTATCCGTTTAAGAGGGGGCGGAGTACTCTTTTAAGGAAGTAGTACCCTCTTTAAAAAGATGTTTATTATATCTATTAGTTAATAGCTTATACTATTATAAAGTAAGTAGAGGTATATATATAGGTACTATTTATAAGATAATATTAATAAGCTATATAGAGCTCTTTTATACGTAGCTAGCCTATATATATATATATAAGATCCGGCCCTTTATATATAACTATATAGCTTAGGCTATAGCTTAAGCCTATAACCTATAATAGTTAAAGACTCTTATAACGCTCCTTATTATACCTATTTAATATCTTAATTAATAAAGAAGATCTTACTTAAAGAAGCTATTAATATTCTTTTAACTACTAATCTTTTTACTAGTTTTTTCCCCTTTATTTTAGCTATTACTAGTATATCCGTTTTATCTCTTACTACTTTTATAAGAAGCTATTACTACTTTTACTTCTCTTTTTACTCTTACCTTCTTTTTTATACCCTTTATAGCTCCTCCTCTCTTCCTTCTTTTATATTAGTTTTTTTAGCTTCCTAGGTCCTTCTTACTAAGGGATATCTCTAAGAACTATAAAATTAAGCTATACTTTATAATAAGAAAAGGTATTAAAGTTAATAATTCTTTTTTTATTTATCGGCGGATATCTAGTCTTTTATAGATACTTATAGCTAAATAAAAGTACTTATTAAAACCGGACTTAAGTATCTATAAAGTCCTATATCTAACGGATTTAATAGTAGTTTTTATATAACTATAAGTATCTTAGTTCTTATATTATTTATATTTAAATAAGGCTTATTATATTAAAGATCTTAATATATTCTAAGCTTATTTTATATTAATCGTTGTTTCTTTAATTCCTAATTAAATAGAAACTAGTAACCTATTTAATATATAATAATATAAAAAGGAACGAGCCTTTCTTACTTTAAAAGATAGTACTTTTTCTATAATTAATATACTACTATTAGCTTATATAATTAAGAGAGTATATTATAGCTACTTTATTTATAGTAGGAAAATACCTTTCCTTATACTTCTCGACTAAGTATTTATTATAAAGCGTAGCTTAATTTCGTAGTTCTTAAAGATATCCCTTAGTAAGAGGGACCTAGGGAACTAAAAATACCTAGTATAAAAGAAGGAAGAAGGAGCTAAAAAGAGGTATAAAGAAGAGGGTAAGGGTATAAAGGGAAGTAAAAGTAGCGATAGCTTCTTATAGAGGTAGTTAGAGATAAAACGGATATACTAGTAACGGCTAGAATAAGGGGGAAAACTTAGTAAAAAGCTTAGTAGTTAAGAGGATATTAGTAGCTTCTTTAAGTAGGATCTTCTTTATTAATTAAGATACTATATAGGTAAAAAGATAGGCGTTAGATAGAGGAAAGAAGGATAATTTAAGCAATATAATAATTACTCCCCTACTAAAATTACTGCTCCTATAAGAATTAAATATCTTTACCTTACTTATCTAACCCCTTACTTTTAAATTTACCTTTATATATTTTTATATACTTCTTATATCTCTCTTTATAAGAGTATTTAAAGTAAATATTTAGAAAGTAAACGACTTCTATTAAATTAAAGTCCTATCCCTATAATACCTATTATAGTTTTATTAGTAGAAGAGTATAAAAGATATAATAATATTTTAGTAAGCTATATTAACGAACGATAAAGTAGTTTATACGTTTAAAACTAAAGCGTTTTATTACTATACCTATCTCTATTATTTATAGAGACTAAGGCTTATAATAAGCTTTATATAGATCCTAAATCTATACTATATTTACTAAGGGTTAAGAGAAGTAGTTAAAAGTACGTAATTAAGTTAGTATATAGCTTTATTCGCTAACCTTTCTTAGTACTATAATATAAGTATAACTATAGTAAGTTATATACTATATTAATACGGCGACTTACTAAGCCTATATTAATTAGAGAGCTTAGTATAATATAGTAGCGGCGTTCTTAAGACGCCCCTTAAATAAGGTATTTTAAAAGCGGCCGGCTATATAAGCTAGTATACTAATCCTAGGGCACTAACCGACGCTAGTACTATCGAGCTAAGAAAGATTAAGTTTAATCTTATACTTATTAGTCTTATTAGTCTTTACGATTCTCTTAGTAAGAAGGTCTATTATAAGTTAAGAATAATTAAGGAGGCCGAGGAAGCTAGTATATAGCTATTCGAGATATATTATACTATAGAGAATAAAGTATAATTAATAAGGTTATACTTATAGAAACTAGCTAAAGTTAATATAAGAGATAAGTTCTTTAATATAATCTATACTATAAAGATTAATACTTAACTTAAGGATAAGAGCTACTCTTTCCTTAACTTAAAGCTAGGATCTTAGTAACCTTAGTAATCTTATAGCTTAAAAGAAAGAAGACTTTTAGCCGAACTTATTTATACTAATATAATAAAGCTTAATAATAAGATAAGATTAAAATACTAGCTCTATATTATTAGAGCGCTACTAGGAGGTACGGGCTAATAAAGCACTCGGGTACGTAGTACTAATATATCGGCAGGGTATCGGTAGGGAATTATGCCTACCCCGCTCGCATATTATAGACTACTCGCTATTCCGATAGAAGAGGAAAAATCCCTCTTCTCGTAAGCTTTAGTCTTACGACGAGGAGAACATAATATATATAGCGTAGTACCTCTAGCTATCTCTACTACCTAACTAATCGTACCGTGATACGTATTCCCTTATATATATAATATATATAATAGTTATACTAAGAAGGAAAATTAAGTCTCGCCTACTAAAGATAGTAGTTAAAGACGTTATAGTTAACTTTCTAAAAGTATATAGTAAGGACTAGTACTTTATATATTTCTAAGATAAAACGGCGCCTTAAATTAAAAGGTCTTATAAGTATTTCTCTACCTATAAAGTAAGAGATTATCTCGTCTTTTAGTATCTATAAAGCCTCGATATATAGTCTATAACGTATCTAGAGCTAAATTATAAATTAAAAAATATTTCCTTTAGTAATATAAATAGCTTTTAAAGTTATTTAGCTAAGGTTTATAAGTATAATATCTTTAACCGTTATAAAATTTCCTTTAAGTCTTAGCTAGAAACTTAACCTAGTCCGTATATAGTATTAGAGAAGCAGGCAGTATCTTATAGATTAAGTTAACCTATACGCTTATAGATAGAAAGCCTGGCTCCCGCCCCTGCCCCTGCCGCTCCCGCCGATTACGCTCGATGGGACTAAAAATCGGTGCCCTATGCCCCGCCGGTTATTCCCGTACCGCTATATAGGCGGTTAGGGGTCAGCTTGCGACCTGCGACTAGCGGGTTGCCTTGGCCCCTGCGTCCCGGGGGGGGGGCCCTGGCGGACGTGTACCCCCTTTTTTGCCTCCCGGCTCGTCGGCGCGCCGGTGCAGTTGGCGAATTTTGGCCGGCGGGCCAGCCACGGGTTCGAGTCGCTCGAGTCGAAACCATGAGCGTTGTCCTCGGTGGGATGGTGTCCGAGGTCCCGCCAGACGCCAGGCTTACGCGTGGCCAACCAAGCGCCGCCGACGGTGTCGGGCTTGTAACGGCGCGCTGGCACGCGTATCCCCGCTGCGTGGCAGTAGTGGATGTACCCGTCACTAGCCAACTGGTTCCCGAAACCGTCGTACCACCACCCACGGAGCTTGTCCCTGCAGAAGAAGATTGGTTCATAAATCCCATCGAACGCGCACCGATAGACGAGTGATGGCAAGCCCGCTCGCTCGCAGTAAGACGCGGAATCCCACCGGTCTCGGGCGGTGCCCTGGCCTACAGGCCAGGGTTGGGCAACGACCGCCTGGACGACCTTCGCGTCGGGCGGGCGTTCCGCCTCCCCGGCCTTGCTCCGCACATAGTGCGCGCCGGGGAATACGAGGGGGCGCGATCCCGTGGCCGAGATCCAGTGCCAGCCGGGTAACTTTGTTGGCCCTGCCTTTCCTCCCCACCCGTGTTTGGGGGCTATAACCCGAACTGGCCGGCAGTTGTAGAGTACACCGCCCCCCTCAGTGGCGGCCACCCCTGGCATTCCCACGTGGTTCCAGTAGGTCGACTCCCCAGCGTTCGAACACACAGTCCAGTAGGAAAGGCGGGGTCCCACTGCACAGGCGACGATGACGTATGGCACCCCACGGCGGGCGCAGTTGTTCTCCCAGCTGGACACGTTTGCGTCGAGTCTGGTCAGCGACTCGCTGTTGAGGCCCAACTGGCGCCGCAGTTTTAGGTTGATCCGTCGCACCGTGGCGTCGGCGGACGCGTTGACGGGTACCCACCTGCCCCCCACACAGGTTTTGGTGATGGTTTCCTCGTCGTTCACACCCGACGCAGGGTTCGCGGCGCCTGCTGTTAGGGACATCCTGGCAGGCTCCATGAACTTGTGCCCGAGGTCTGTGTGCAGGCTCGAGTCGTCGGGGGGGTAAAGCCTCGCGTGGCCGGTCCAACGGTCAAGGCCATCCGGATCAAACTTCTGACGGGGGACGCGGATGCCGGCGGCATGGCAGGACATCACTAACCCGCTGTTACCTATCACGTTTCCGAACATGTCGAATTGCCTGATTCGACCCCGCCGCCCCTTGCAGGAGTGGACCAGCTCCGTTAGACCACTGAACCCGCACACGTAGACTACCGACACAGCCCCGAACTGGTCGCAAACGGAGCGGCCTGACCATGCGTCGGTCGTTCCGCTCCTTCCTGCGCCCCAGGGCTCGACGGCGAACTTGTGGGCTTCCGTGTGGTTCACCCGGACCCCGGCGCCCGGTTCCAACAGGTTCTGGGACCACTTCCACGTGGTTTCATACCGGACCCCCAGATTTGGCCGGCTCGTCTGTGGCGGCGCAACAACCGCTGCCCCCCGGACAGGGTCCCCATGCCCTCGGCCGGGGCCGCGTACGTCCACAACGAAGCATGCGTACATCAGTCCGATGGTCCGGTTTGTGTGATCGAAACCGCCGATGACCGCCTGGCCTGGGCCTCCGTCACACAGCGCTACCATGCTCCATCCGGGTGTCCCACAGACCAGAGCGGCGTAAGGGAACGCTCCGGCCAGGCACGAGGCCGGAGTAATGGGTACGGCCCCGACCAGCGACAACAAGAAGAGTTGCGTGAGTATGGCCGCATACAACACGGGTGCCGTACGCACTACTCGTGGCCGAGGCAACGGGCTGCTTGACGCTCCCGCCGCATTCCAGGCGGACCCGCTGCTGGGGGACCCGGGCCTACGTCCACCGGTCTGAGGGGTCCAAGGTTGGTCGACCGGGCTATGCCCGATACGGGCGGCCGTAGGGGGGCCGCCTGTCCTAGGGGCTTCCGGCCCACCGGATCTCGCCCTGTCGCGGTCCCGCGCATAGGGCTCCATGCACACCGCGCTGCTCCTGTGGCGGGAGACATCGCCGGGGGGCGGGTCTATTGCAAGTGGTTGTTTCCGGGTTCGGAACATTTCGTGCGATTTGTTGGTTTGATAGTTTGAAAAAATCTTTGGGCTTTCACCTCTAATTACTAAACCGTGAGAAAGAGGAGTAGTGGGTATGATTGTGTAAATGCGGCGGGTCACGGGATCCGGCAGATCACTGGTAAATCACTTAGTTGCCGACATTTTTCACTAAGATTACTTATTGTCCGTACGACGGATACGAAGGTAGGTAGGAAGATAGTTAAAGAGGTGATCTTAGTAGTTATATTGCTTAGAGGGTAGCTAGAAAGCTTGCTTAAGAAAAGGATATCTAGTAGATATAAGTCACTTTACATAAAAAGCTCCTCCCTTTCTTTCTTCTAATTATTCGTTCGATCCCTCTAGGCAGCAAAGTATTATTCTAGGCAACTAGTCTTAGATCTAGGAATTTATCTTAGGCAGCAGAGTATTATTCTAGGCAACTAGTCTTAGATCTAGGAATTTATCTTAGGCAGCTAAGTAATTATTCTAGGCAGCTATTCTTATGTCTAGACATTTCCTTCCCTTTTAAAGGAAGACCGATTTAGTATTGCTAATAATATAACAATAAAGTAGTTCTTAGTAAGCTAAGGGCGCGGGCGGAAGGATAAGGGCAGGCACAATTAAGTCTAAATAATAATGCATGTTTTCTATCTAGGGGCTAGGTATCGATACACGGCGTCAGGATAAATTTCCACGGAAAGTGGATCAACGTGGCGTAGGCCGTGGCGGAGGTCCGATGTCGCAAATTCATGTGCGCGCACTCCCGGCTATAGGAGACCGGCCCCTTCCAGGGTCCGCCAATGCCTTGAGGAACGGAACTAGAGCATTTAGTTTGGTTTTCACACTAACAGGTCTGTTGAGAAGATAAGGCTTGCTCCCGATAGTGTGGCTGCTTGGACGCTATTTTACCCCGCTATAATACGGTGGGTTAAGGGCGAGCGGGGTAAGGACGTAAAGGAGATCTTTACCGAGCTATTATCTCGAAGGGCGAAGGAGTCCGAACCGTTTATAAATTATATAGTAAAGTATAATAAATTTAAGTATTACTATTTACCTAAGACTAAGTCTCTATTTAGCTAGGAGTCTCTTAAATTCTCCTCTTTTAATTAGCTATATTATATCTTAGTTATTAAATAAAAATTTAAAGTATATTAAAGTACTTATCTTATACGTCGCGCTTACCTCGCGTAGGGGTAAACCCCTATAGTAGGGCCTCTCCCTAAGGGGGACCCCTCCCTTACTAGCTTAGGCGCTCGAGTATATTATTTTATAGTTAGAGCTATCTAGGGGTTTTTATAGATTTTTCGCTAAAGGAACAGTAAAAAAATAGTACTTATAAGATATTAGTATAAGATATTAAGGTACCTTACTATTACTAGTATTAGCTAAATAGAGATTTAGTCTTAGGTAAATAGTAATACTTATAAATTTATTAAGAATTAACTTAATACCTTTATTATTAAGATTATACTAGTAACTTATTTAAAGGTATCTAGAACTTCGGTATTAAATAGGAGGGAAAAACTAAAGTACTTAGAGGAAAACCCTCCCCTCTTTTATAGCTAGTCCGCCCTTATACTAGGTCGCGGTTATAATATATAGGAATCTTACGCTAGCTATCTTAAGTATCGTTATAGTTAGTCGGAATCGTATTAGCCCTACTATAAAGTAACCTTAGAAAGTAACTCCTTTACGTACGCGGGGTATATAGCGTTAATCGGTAGTACGAGCGTTTTTAGTTAATAGTTAATAGTTAATTATATAATTATCTTTAACCTTATCCTATAATAATATCTTCTTAGGCTTTACTTTATTTTTCCGCTATAAGGCTTAGCTAGCTATTTTTTTTATTAATACCAGCCTTTAGCCGGGCTAGTAGTCGGGTTATTATACTAGCTTCGCGCTATACTTATTAAGTTACTAGTATCGGCCCTAAGTTTTTATTTTCCTAGTTAAGGGGCCTAGACTAGGGTTAAGGGGAGGTCCTAACGAATTTATCGCTAGGTCTAGGTAAGCGAGGTCCGGGCCGGTCTACTTATAGCGGGGCTAGACTACTAGTATATTTATAAGCGCTTTTAAAAGCGCTAATTAGCTAATTAATAAGTAGGTTAGCGTAGTTTACTAGTCCGACTAAAAATTAATCGTGCCCTTAGCCGGATTTAAACCGACTTTAGTATTATAGCTAGTAGGCTTCCTAGGTATATAACTACTATATTATAAGGTCGACTTAATACCTTTAATTAATTACTTAAAGTAGGATAATATTAATATTAATTTAGAGCTAAAGGTATTACCTTAGTAAGTACTATTAGTAAAACCTACCCCGCTACTTATATATACCTCCTTAACGTTAGGTATATTAAGTTTAAGGGAAATATATAGTAACTTAGGGTAGGTTAAAGCTATTATTATTTAATATAAGGCTAAGAAATATAAGCTTCCCTTTTAATTTACTACTATAATCCCTATAAATTATAATATATTTTTATAGTTAGTACTATTTATCCTAGTATTTATTAAGGTCCTACTAGTCCTTTATTAAATAAGGACTTAGTCTATTAATAGGATAGACCTTAATAACTAGATTACTATATACCTTAATATTAATACTAACTCTAGGTTTATATAAGAGTCTAGGCGTTACTTAGATAGTTAATAAGTATAGTTAATTAATAAGCTAGGCAGCTTAGTTAATTCGTTACCTTTTATTATATATATATAATACGTTATATATAGTAGAGGGGGGTAGTAGCGTAACTATAGCCTATACCTTTACTTACTCTATAATAGTATAATATACTATTTATTTTACCCTCTTTATATCCCTATATATAGAATAGCTATTTTTAGCTACCTTTAAAGCTAACGTTTAATTACTTAGTTTAGTTAAACTACCTATACTAAGATATATATACGTAAAATATCTATACTCTTATAATCGTAAAATTAAAGTAAATATAATACTTAGTTTACCTAGGTAATTAAGAGCCTCTTATAATAATAAGGCTTTATACGACTAAGAGTAGTACTATTATACCTTAGTAAGTTTAATAGCTCTTTTATAGAGCTTAAGCTATAGCTACTTTATATAAAAGCAAAGCTCTATATTAATAACGCTATAATAAGAGATATCCGCGCTTAATTTAACTATCTTTACTTAAGCCTATCCTTATACCTATAAAGGTATCTTTTACCGTTTACGTATATTAGTATAAATAAACTAGCTAACCTCCTTATAAAACTCTATATTAATTATAGCGAACCTAATATAGCTAAGTTAGTAGGCTAAGAGCTTATAATACTCTATTAAAAGTAAAATAAAGCTATTTTAGCCTACCTTATATAGTTTAAAAAAGTACTTTATTAAGTAGATATATATAGGTAGCTTAATATAGTAAAGTATAATTACTTTATTATAAGCTTAAATATAGATTAATATACTTATTTAAGTAAAAGGTTTATATTATTAAATATATATACCGATCTTATCCGCTTTCTTTATAAGCTAAGTAGTAATAAGTTTCTTTTTTTATTTTCTTCTATAGTATAAGAAGAAGATAGCGCTAGTAATACTATAGATATCTCTATCTTTACCTTAAGGATTAAAGATAGAAAGAGGTAGTAATAAAAAGGTCGCTATATAAGCTATAATTATCGCGAAGCATAGCTTAATTTTATAGTTCTTAGAAATATCCCTTAGTAAGAGGGACTAAGGAAGCTAAAAACACTTAGTATAAAAGAAGGAAGAAGGAGCTAAAAGGAGGTATAAAGAAAAGGGTAGGGGTATAAAGGGAAGTAAAAGTAGTAATAGCCTCTTATAAAGGTAGTAAGAGATAAGACGGATATACTAGTAACGGCTAGAAAAAAAGGGAAAACTTAGTAAAAAGCTTAGTAGTTAAGAGGATATTAATAGCTTCTTTAAGCGACTTTTTCTTTATTAATTAAGATATAAAATAGGTATAAAGAAAAGCGTTAGATAAAGGAAAGAAAGAGAATTAAAGTAATATAATAATTACTCCCTTATTATAATTACTACCCCTTATAAGAATTAAATATATCTACCTTACTTATCTAACCCCTTACTTTTACTTTTACCTTTATATAAGGAATAGTATTCTTATTATAAATAAAGTAGCTATAATATACTCTCTTAATTATATAAGCTAATAAGTAGTATATTAATTATAGATAAAATCCTATCCTATAAAATTAAATTCGCTCGTTATTTTATATATTATTATATATTAAACGGGCTACTGGTTATCGTATAATTAGGAATTAAAGGAATAGAGCTTCTTATAAAGAGAGATATAAGAAATATATATAAAATATACGAAGGTAAAATTAAAAGTAAGGGGTCGGATAGGTAGGGTAGAGAGATTTAATTCTTATAGGGGCAGTAATTATAGTAAGGGAATAATTATTTTATTATATTAATTCTCCTTCTTTCCTTTATATAACGCCCCTCTTTATACCTATCTAATATCTTAATTAATAAAGAAGATCCTACTTAAAGAAGCTATTAATATCCTTTTAACTACTAAGCTTTTTACTAGTTTTTC